GGAGCCCTGCAGCCTTCGAAGGCCTCCGAACCCTCCGAGCCCTCCGAGCCCTCCGAGCCCTCCGAGCCCTCCGAGCCCCCCGAGCCCGGCTCGGCGGCTCGCCCCTCCGAGCCCTCCGGGCACTCCATCCCTTGTGAGCCCTCCCGAGCCCTCCCGAGCCCACCAGCGCCACCCTCGTGCCTCTCTGCCCTCCGAGCCCTCCGACCCCTCCGAGCTCTCCACCTCTCCCAAGCCCTCATGAGCCCTCCTACGCCTCGCTTTTGGCCAGCCCTCCCAGCCCCCACCCCTCCTGGGCCCTGCCGCCTGACACCTCTATCGGTGGAGGGCTTTAGGTTACGGTCCGCACTCCCGCCCTCCCGACCCCTCCACACCCCTACAGCGGCACCCCTACCCCTCCCGCCGTTTTAGGGCCTGCCCACCCGCACTCCAGGCGAGCGGTGTCGCAGAGTCGCGTGTCGCGATGGTGTCGCAGCCGGGGCGCGGCGGTGGTTAAATTCTGTGCCTGACGATCGGTCGATGGCTGTGCACACGACGAGGGTGAGCTTGGTAGAGACGGCGCCCCAACCTGTGTGCGTTCCGCTATTGCGCTAATAACCAGACCTCGGCAAGGTGCAGTCATGGTAATCTCTAGTCTTTCTTAGAGATTGAGAGGAGTGAGACCTGAAGATTTCAGGGCAGATCTCAGTCTCTAGTCCCGCCCTTGAGATCTCCCAAATCTTCGTCGAGACTTCAGGTTCAGCCACGAAATCTCAGTCTTCCCGTCGCTCGGTGTGAGTTTCTAGCTGGTGAAACGCGTGAGATCTCAAATGGCGAAGATTCCTTTTCGCTTTGGGAGTTTGAGATTTCGATGAGGGGTGGGAGAGACTGAGACTGCAAGCAAGAGAGATTCCGTTTTCGATGCAGAATGCTGTTGAACTTCCTCAACCTTCCAACGCCATTATCTCGCTTCGTTCGAAAAACATCGCTTGCGCGGGACCACCGAAATCTAGGGCAGCGTGACTCGAGATTTGAGATTGAGACTGGGGGGGGGGGGGGGAGCCCCGCATACGCCCACACCGTGTTGGCCAGCTCCTGCGGGGTGAAGCCAACCAGCCCGCTCCCCACCGCCGCCTCCGCCACCGCCGCGTACAGCGAACGCACCACCCCTACTTGCAGCTGGCACTTTGCTACGCCGTGGGCGATGTTGGACAGCTCGCGCGCTCGGCACGAAGAAACGAGGTCCAGCGTGCGCTGCACCAGCTGCTCAAGCCGCTCCTCGTGCGGCCGCTCGATGTGCGCTGCTTGCCCAGTTTGTTCCACAGGTTCGCAGCGTGGATGTGGTTCAAGCTCGTGCTGTGGGCAGCAGAGAGCGCGAGCAATGCGTCAGCGCTGCCAGCCTGGCTTATCAAAGTCGTCAGCTTCCGAGGGTCGACCTGATCAGTGTCAGCGCAGCGGCTCGAGAAGGGGCGATCATTGCACACTCGTGCGTCGCGTCCTTGTGCTCCGTGCATCGGCGGTCGCTCCCGGCGATCGCTGTGCCGAGGCTGCCCCTCGCCGCGGCGGTCGCGCCGGTCATGGTCGCGCCTGGGATCGTGGTACCGATCATCGCGCCGATCGTGCCAGTCGCGCTCGCGCTCGCCTCTGCCCCGATCGTCGTAGCCGCGCCGCTCATCATGCCGCCCGTCATGATGCGGCCGTTGCTCGCCTCGCCATGGCTCATCGTGCCATCGCCCAGCGGGCAATTGTGGCTCAGCGTGCCATCGCTGCTCGCGACCACCGCACCAAGAGTCGTTGTAGCCGCGCCGCTCGTCATGCCGCCCGTCATGGTTAATTAGTCATGGTTCGGCCATTGCTCGCCTTGCCAACGCTCATCGCGCCGTCGCAGCTCATCCCGCCGCGGCTCATCGTGACCGCCGTCGCGGTTCGCCATGCCATCGCCACTCTTCGCTTGCGTGCGAGTCCGGCGACCGCACAGCGCGCGTCAGGCGTGTGCAAGGAGTGGCGGCAGTACGTGTTGGCAAGCTTTGAGCACGAGCTCGATCTCGCCGGGATCTGCAGCGAGAAGCACCTTAGCGCACCACACACCTCTCCTTAAAATCCCTGTGTGGTGGCGGCGTGCCGTCCTTCCATCCCTCCCTTGTTGTCTGTTTTCTTTCTTTCTTTCTTTAAACCATAAAAGTAGATTTGAATTAGTCCACGTACGGCTTCGTGAGTGGTTGGGGTGGCCTCAAGCATCCCCAAGGGAGCCTCTGCGGTGCCACATAAGCAGCTTGGTTATTGTCGAGACTTTAAAGGATTCGTTTGAAGAAACGCAAACAGGCCAGACACTACTATGGTCACCAGTAAACCATAATTCGACTTTGAGGGATCATATCTCAAAAAGCCGGGAGATAGCATAGCATTATTGTTGCATATTATACCACATAAGGTCAAACTTGATAGCATACCATAATTCGACTTCGCCCTGGGCCTTACCTGGGGCTCTAGGGGGCGGGCGGGGTTTGCCCCCCAAAACTGGCATGGGCAACCTTAACCCAACGCGGCCGAAGGATATCCAACCTCGAGACCGCGAGACCTGTTACTCCACCACACTTGTTGGCACGAATGATCCTGCCTCGTGTCTTCGCCAGCTCCCTCGCGCTCGCTGCGTCCTCGCTGCGTGCGCGCCCGGCGGTGGCGTGCGCGGCGGCGAAGCACACGCTGCCGTCTTCGGTTCTCGACCAGCAGGGAGCCGCCTTGAGTGAGGCCGCCACGACCCAGCAGCTCGGCGGCAAGCGGGTGGCACTGTACTTTTCCGCGGGCTGGTGCCCCATGTGCACATCCTTCGAGCCGTCGCTGCAGCAGTTTCTCCAGGCCAGCGAGGACAGCGGCAAGCCGTGCTCTCTCATCTACGTGCCGAGCGATCGCACGGAGGCGGAGGCGCTGAGGCGCGCCAAGGGCCTGGGCCTGCTTTCGGTGCCCTTCGAGGAGGCCGATGCGCTCAAGAAGCAGTTCAAGATCTGGGCGGGCGCCGAGTCGATGAAGCTCGGCCCGTTTGGACGCCGCAGCGGCGTGCCGGCGCTGGTGGTGCTGAGCAGCGAGGGCGAGGAGCTGGCCTTCGTGCCCGCAGAGGCCCAGGGCGTGCGCGCGCTGCAGAGCTGGCCGATGGACGACCCGCGTGGGGTGTGGCAGTAGCAGACGAGGGCAGTGCACAGTGATCTGTGCAACATGAGAAAGTACCGTAAAACCGCAGAGCCACGCGTCGACTTGTGCGAGGTGTGAGCCGGACTGTGACGACTGACGTCTGACGACCCCCCTATGTAGCAATTGGTAGCAAGAAAACGTTCTGCCTCTCCCCCTCTCCGCCCTCATCGACCGCCCCGGCCGCGACTGCCGCGCCCCCTCCCGCGCTCGCTCGACTCGGCTGGCCGCCGCAGGCTCTCGGCGTCGTCCGAGCGGTCATAGACCTCCGGTCGCGCGTGCCGTCCGCGCGGACACGCGGCCGGCGTCGCAGCTGCCGCAGTTGTCGACGAAGCGCGTGTGCGTCCAGGCGGCGTCTCTGCGCCCACGGCGCGCAGCCAGAGCAGCCAACGGCGCACGAGGCCGTGCGCGAGCTCCTCCGCGTGCACCATGCACGCCTCGTCGCCGTCGAGCCACCTGGAGGGGAGCAGCGAGGAGTGCGACGACTGGCGCCGCCGCCGTGCCGAGAAGGCAAGCGCGGGCGCTGGAGCCCCCCCCCCCTTTCAAATCACACGGGCGACGCGCTCTCGTACGAGGAGCTCGGGCGGCTGCGCGATCTAGCAAGCCCTGGTCGATGGGTCTTCGGATCGGCGGCCAGCTTCCCACATATGGCAGGTTACGGGCTGGGCGGACCCGCGCCAAGGGGGAGAGAATGGAGGGGGGAGAATATGCGTGCCCGTCTTTCTTCTAAAGCAATTTTTTTAATGTCCGTTTTATTTATTCATTTATTAGCTAGAATGAGAGTCACTGCGAGAAAACCCCGTCAGCAGTCCTCCTCCGGGAATGTACGTAAGAGCTACGTACACTGAGAAAGTAGTACCCTCACACGAGTTAGGGCCCCTACCCCAATCGTTGTTGGTTCGCGTTGACGGCGAAGACGTCGCCTGGTGTGAGAGACGCTTGGCGGACTGCAGCCGCATGCCCCCTTGGGGCGGTCCGAAAGGGACGACAGCGCTCCTTTTGCGACCATCGGCCAGATTACGGACGATTGGCGGGCCGTTCCTCTCGCGTGCCGCGCCACGGCCCGCTCCCGCTCCCGGTATCAGCCATGAAGACGGATACCTCCGACCCGGCAAAGCTGCAGGCCAGAATTAAGGAGTTGGAAGCCCAAGTGAAGGAGCTCGAGAAGGGCCGCATGAGCTTCGAGCCAGGCATGCTCGCTCTCTCGCGCATGTCAACCTACGATGCACGCATGTGCGCGCTGCATGCGCACACACACACATACAATGCAGATCGCAGCGCGCGCTCAATGGACCCGCTTGCCCATCACCTGTTCCCTCGTTCGCCTCCAGTCGGCTCCTCCCGCAGCACCAGCACCGAGACTGCATCACCGCCAAATTGCCTGGTCCGCAGGTCACAGCGGAAGAGCGCTGTCGATGGCGTCCCACATGTGGGCACTACGTCCACCAACGCCGCCTGTATGTCCCTGATCACCACGATGGTCGGCTCGGGCGTGCTCGGCTTCCCGGCCCTCTTTGCCAAGGGGGGCTGGTGTATCACGGGCCCGCTGCTGTTCATTAACGGACTCGCTGGCCACCTCTCGCTGCTCGATATGTCGTGGGTGCTCACCGTCTGCGACCAGCGCGCGCTGAAGGAGCTCGCCTCCCTCAAATCTCCCTCCAGTCGCTGCTCGTCCATAAGCCAGACGGCCTTCCTTGGGCCCTCAACCCAACTCCGACCCACTCCAACCCCACCTCCAACCCGACAGGATCCGCACAAGTATTCGTTCGGTCGCTACGTGGTCAAGTACGAGGACATGGCGGAAGTTCCCTTTGGCAAACCCGGCATCTACTTCGCCTCCTTCATGGTCAACTCGTTCCTCCTCTTCCTCTCTGGCGCCTACCTCATCCTCATTGGCTCGAGCCTGGAGTTTGTCACCAACGCCTGGCTGCCATACCGCCATTGGGTGAGTCGTCGACGTAGAGGAGACACGATCAGGACCACCGAGGGGCTCAGAAGCCTCGACCCAACAGCGGGACGGAACCCAGCCTACTTGCACACCATTCCGAGGCGGCCTGCTGCTAGGTGCTCGTCCTCTCGGTCCTATTCTTGCCACTGGTGCTGCTTGACGATATGACGGCGATCGCGCGCCTCGCGGGCGTCGGCGTCGCCGCCTCGATCATGTACGTACTCACGATTTCGCAGGCCGGCATCATGAACGGGATTGCGGGCATGGGGGAGGGGGCGACCAACCCACCCGAGTACAAGCTTTTTCCCGA